GTTTCTAGTTTTACGTATAACTTAGAAAACATTCTCACAATTGCAATTATAATATATTTTTAAAATTTGTAATGTTTAACTCTTTGATACATCTGGAAATATTTTGGACATAAGGGTTGAGATAGGTATTCAATTTGATATTTTAAAAACCTTAAACCACATACGATACTTTGTCACCCCTCTACTCATGATTTATCATATATCAAAACCCTTATGTATTTCAACCTATTTCTTGACCTTATTCTGTTCCTTTTTTTCTGCCTGACAGAACTGAATTCTCTTGGTTATTGTAGCTGTATAATATATTTAAATATACTGAAAGCTCTTTCTCATTTTTTTTCTTACTTTCAGTATTTTCCAGACTTTCTTTCATCCTTACTTTATCAAAAAGTCTTTAGAATTAGCTTGGGTAATCATTAAAAAGTAAAATCTTATTGCTGTCATTATGGTGGTTGTGTTAAATTTATAGATCAATTTAGGAGAAATTCTTTAAAATATCAAGGCATCTAACTGTTCTCCAATAGAAATGTAACTTATGATGCTATTATCCACTGAGGTCTTCAAAATCATTTTTGAAGTTTTCTTTACAAAAATCTTGTACCAAGTTTACCAAGTTTATTCCTATGTACTTTATGGTTCTAGTTTATATTGTAATGGAAATCTCTCATTCAAATACATATTTTATGTGATGTATGTTTATATAGAGAAAAGCATTGAGTTTTGCATGATGTTAGATTATTATTTTTAATACTGCCGTAGGTTTTTGCATGTTTTTCTTGGATGTTCAAGACTCAATCTTCTAGAATTAAATAGTAAACTTGACTTCTTTCTAATTTCTATATCTCTCATTTCTCTTGTATAACTGCACTGACACCATTCCCCAGAAAATGATAGTGATGTATTTCTGACACCTTTGGCCATTCAGAAATTTTAAACCTTTATTGATCTGTCAATCTTTTCTCTCATAGCTTCTGGGTTTCATGTCTTGCTTTGAAAGACCTTCCCATTCCCCAATGCTAAAGACACATTCCATATTTTCTTCTAATATTTTATAGTTTTCACTTTTACATTTAGTTCTTTAATCCATCTGGAATTTATTTCTATATATTGCGTGAGATAAAAATCTCACTTTATTTTTTCCAGATGGTTCACAAAATTTCCCAACATCATTTATAAAATTGGTCAGTCTTTCCTCGCTAGTTTGAAATGCCACTTTAGTCACATTCTAAATAGATGTTTTTTTTTTTTAAATCCAAGTTTAAAAACTAAATGAAACTAATGACAGTAGACAACAAAGACAAGAAATACAGACAGATAACAGACATCAAGATAAGGGTCTACACAAACTATTTAATGTGTATAATAAAATACAAAGGTCATTCATAGCAAAATAGTATAAATATAAATAATTCAGAGAAAATATTCTCACAAAATATTCTAGAAAGAAGGATTTAGAGGAGGGACATGTGTAAAATATAAGGTTGCAACAGTTGATTATTCGAACATTGTTTAAAGTTCCTCCCATCATAGGGAAAGTTATTTGAAGCCTCAAGGCTATAAATGTTCTCCAGCTGCCTTGTATCAGATATTAGCAAGAGTGGATAAGAATGTCCAGTAAGTAAAAAGAAGTTAGAAAAAACAACAACAACAAAAGGAACAGTCTCTTATAATTCAAGATTTTTTTTTTTTTATGTGCATCTTTAAGGCCCTGCAGTATATTTCAACATTCCACTTTCGTAGAGCTGAAGTAGAGTGAAGGTGGACAGAGGCTTGGCCTTTTGCCTCTCTATCTCTCTTTTAACAGGAGAATGGATTCCGAATCATTGAAATTAAATGCCAAAGAGAATAGAAAGAAGTCAATGTTGAACTCTGAAACTTGGGAGGAAACCCTAAACCATGTGAACAGACAATGCATGCCTTTCCTGGGCTTTGGAAACTTTCCAATAAATAAAAAATTCACAATTAGTATTACAATAGTGAATCCTGGTACTTCTTGGCTCTTTCTGATCTTACAAGGCCTGAAATGCTGCCGCATGTGAATGGAAGCACTGCAGAGCCAACTGATAGATCTGTGCAAGATTTTTCATTTTGGAAGATTAGAGAGGATGTTATTGGCCGATATGAATTTTTATTTTTTTATGTTAGTTCCAGTTTATGTTATCTGTAAATAAAAATTAACAGAATGATGAAAGACAAAGACAGCTAGACATTTTGCACTATGAAGTCACGTCCTTTGAGACCTATCTTACTAAGGTGAAAAGTAAATCCACGAGATGGTTATAAGGTTTGTTTGCATGCAGCGTCGTTGAAACACGTATGCTGTTTTCTCACAAGGAGAAAATGTTTTTATGGAGGACATTTGATAGGGCTTCAATCAAGCCATTCAGGAACAACTACCACAACAATAACCACAGCACACAAACAAGCCACTCTCTTAGGTGGCCGGGGATTAGCGTGTCACGTGTCTTGTGCAAGGCTGTAGAGAGGGATGGCTTACAACACATTGTACAGATGGTCTAAATCGTTATCTGATTAGAAATAAAATGGAAGCAAGTCCCAGGCTGTCAATCAATATATGGAGGTAACTACTGATCTAGCCACTTGACATAGCAAAGGCTGGGATGTTTTCAAACACTCCAACGTTTAGCAATCTACAATAAAAGTATACAATTAAATGAATACAGTTCTAACTCTTGCCATCAGGGGTCCTAGGGATACAACCTGGATTTAGGTTTTGTTTTTAAATAAACAAAATGAATATAGGTTTTTTTCTGCTATAAAAACAGTCGAAAAGAGTGAGCGTACTGGCAGTTAGGTTAACAAATGCTGCCCTTAGCAGATTTTCCTGGAAAACCTTGTACAGCGTGTGTCTATTTTTGCCACTATTCATTGCCGAGTCGGTCCTCTGTGCTCTCTGCCATCCTGGCACTCTAAGGAAAGCAAGACTCTGGACTTCCCATTTCCCAGGCCTTTGGAGGAGTGCTAATTACAAAATACTTTACTTAAACACTAGGAATTCATTCACGAGGCCCAGCCAAGTCTCATTTTTGAAAGCATTTAAAAATATCCTTGCAACAGCTCGTACTACTTTATAGTTTATCTATTTTTAGATGTTCAATGTTTGTTTTGCTGGGAGAAAAAAAATTAAAACATGAAAAGTATGCCATGAGCAACTCTGCAGTAATAAGCAGCACATACATGTTGTGGAGGAAAACATTCAACATAAAACAGTCAACATAAAAACAGATTCCGCGAGGCACTCTTATAAATAGTAGCAGTTATTATTTTGCTTCCAATTGCTAAGCATTTTAAATAACACGCCCTTAAAAGTTGTCAAGTTCTTTACTTTATATAAATATAATTTCCTGATCTTAAGGTTCACAAAATTATTATGAAAATTACAAATGTACTCCGTTAGTTTCACATGTAAGTTTTATAATCATCACCTTGTTAAAATTAGAAACACAAGGAAGAAAAGGAAGAAACAGAAAGGCGTTATGAGGCACCAAAGCCATGAAGTGGAAAATACCAATTTCTCTGTATAAAAACAGAATTTGCCTAGGAAACTTTTTACCCAATGCTTTGAGCAGATATCATTCACACAGATTTATAGATAAAATTGTTCTGATTGGTTGTCACACAGCCACACCCAACTTAAGGTCATACTGTGTCTTATCTTTCATGTCCTTTTGAATTCCTCAGCATACTAACAAGCAGGAATTGTGCCTTGAAACCTAAAAGAAGAGTTTTGGAACTGCTTGCCCCACATGTAATTACTGCTATATAGTCAGGTAGCTTTCCACACTGCATCTTAAAAGCAAAAATCATTTCAAAAGGTTCTGAATGACCTCCATCTAGAAAGTACAGATGTGTATAAAGGGTAACGTATGGCTATTTCAACACTGGGGAAGTGAAGTCGTTAATGCAGGCAAGAAAAGCGAATTTTCTGACATCCACAATGCGGTGGCATCTTCTGAGCCCTGTCACTAATCAACGGCTGTTGGCTGTGTGTAGGGCTGATGCCAGCCTCCAGCCCCAGTACCTTCCCTGAGACCAAAGGCAGGCTCGGCTCCATAGTGGCAGCTCAGAGGAGTTCTGCCTACCACTGGCGGACTCCAGAAACTATGGTAACACTTAAAGGGACTGAAACACCTTTATTCACTGCTTCAGTGCTTCCTTGCTTCAACCCACATAATTCGACTTGGCAATGGAGAAAACGGTAAAGTAGAGTTAAGAAAAATACTGACGAATACCACAAATCATGTTTCAGGGTGGAAATTGTGACTTTGCTAGCATTACCAGTATTTCCTGCCTCACAACCGAAATGGCTTGCTGTGAATTTCGCAGTGCCCAAGCCAAAAGCAATAAAATTTCTGTAAGAGCATATGCGCCATGACAGAATACCACATCAGCCCAGAAAAATGATTTTCCTGGGAAGGTCTGTGCAGCGATGAAGAGGGCTCTCAATGCCATGGAAGCTGGGCAGAGATTTTCACTGCTTCCAGCTCACAGTGAGGTAATTTTAAAAGCACTTTTCCCTTCATTTGTTCTGCATTCACTGAATGTACATTTTTTGATGTCAGGGACATTGCAGAAAAGATCAGATGAGATAGTCTGACAATGGAGCCAAAGTTCAAAGCTTCTCTATTTTCAGGTAACAGCCGTGACAGTTTGTCTGCACTAAATCTTTTTGAGGGCATGTCACTGTAACCCTGTCCATAGCTTTTCAAACAGTTCAAGACAAACAAATCACTTAGTCGTTGAACAACTATAACATCTGATACCATCACACAGAAGTTGTAGCGATAGCCACTAATCAAAGTTCTTTCCATTCAGTCGAGAAAAGAAAATTCCTCGGCTTTGGATTAAGATCGCTTTTTATGTTGTTCCTTTGAAAATTATTACATGCCAAAGTTAAAAAAGAAGGGGGGGGTAGATTCTGTCTGTAAGAGGAACCAGAAAGTCGAACGTTCTAGCTGCATGCTGCTGTCAGTAAGGAACTACGGTGTGGGGTGAGAGTGCTCAGGGGTGACAGGCAAGGCCTGCAAGGGGGTACCCAAGCCCCCATTAGAGCCACTCGCCCAATCTCCAGGTGAGATCCCACTCACAGCTGGCTCACACGGGCAGCTGTGCTCTGCTTTCAGTCTTCCTGGCCGATTTCGCAAGGAAGCACGGACATCCAGCCCCAGCACCACCAAGCGATAGAGTTGCAACACCACCACAAGGAAATTCTTTGCGGCAAAGAACACCAGCATCTGGTTTATCACTTTGAAATAGGTCATCAATATGAGACGCACGACAAGGAAGGGACCATCTTGTATGAAGATGCTGATTCCAATGTTCCACAGATCGGCACTGTACTGGCAAAAAAACAGACTGGGGAACCCCCTCATTGCCACAGACAAGGGGCAGACGACATGCTGTACTGAGAACACAAGACAGAACAATTAGCACATCCCTGAAATGTATAAGGCAGAATGAAATGGGGAAGAGTCATTAACAATGGGTGCTGTGCTAGTTAACAATTGGGAGTGATTCTATAATTTAATTCTGGAGGGGAAAGGTGATACCACCCTTTACATTTAACACCACCCTTAGTCACCCCTTAACTATTTAATATCCTTAGTAATTTTATCTTTAAAATCAAGAATCTGTTACAATTTCAATAAAACACCAAAGAAAGCCAGTCATCATGTTTCTATCCATGTAACAAATTTTAGATCACCTTTTAGTCTGAATCCTGGGGAAAGCACAATTAGGCTAGCAAGAATATAGAACAAGACAAACTGCTGGGTCTGTCCTTGGGGTCTACTGCGTAAGGAGACAGCACAGCCGGGCACTCTAGGCCTCAAGCCAGATACACTGGCTGCCTCGTTTTTTTTAGCAAGATTCTGGCCAAGTTACTTAACCTTCCTGGGCCCACTTCTTCCTTTGAAAACTGAGGTAACAATGATGTCTGTGAGGAGAGGGGCCCCTATTCACCAGTTCTTTTTGTTTCCACTAGCTCCTCTCTGATTTCTCACTTCTCTCTTTTCCTTTGGATAATGAATGACTTATCTGACTGCTGAGTTTGGGAGACAGAACAGAGTATAGATGCAAGGCCCAGATCCTTCTGTATCCTCCCTTTGGGATCTACCTGTTTCCTGGTTGACTTAGTCAGGCATATGTATAAATTATGTTGTGGAAATTCGAGTGTTTATAATTCAAATTGAAACTCAATTCATGTTGAACATATTTTTCTAATGGTGGGGGGACAAAAGCCCAAAATAAATGCCATTGTTATTTCATTTTGTCTAATGCCTTATGGTTTTGTTTCACAGTTTACAAGAAACACTGGATATAATTACTGATTTTCCAGTTGAACAAAAGGAGGCCCAATCAACAGATGAACCTTTTTGTTTTAATTTCTAAAATGCTAATTTAATTCAAGGTCAAGGGCATAATATAATCCTTTATAATAATGAAGCCCTCCATTTGGAATTTTCAAACAAAGAATGCCTTCGTCTACTGGAGCCTGCAAATATTATGAAGCTGCTTTGATATGGGTGAACATAATGTACTGTTTGTTGGAAAATACAATAGTGATTTAGTCAGAAGTAACATTTGGTCTTTGTTTTTCAAACAGCTGCATAACATTATCACCCCCGAAAGTTTACAGAATTTCTTTCCCAAATAAAAATTTTCTTAGCAAGTCTATAAACCACAAGATAGGGGAGGGTGAGGATCAGCAGAGTGAATGACAAAAGAAAAACCAACATAAGATCAATAGTGGCCTCTCCTAAGAAGTTAGGGTCAGGAAATGGTTCTGAAGGGACCTCCTAAGACTGTTATTCAACATCTAAAGTGATGGTACCTTATATTCTGTTGGGAGACACCACCTGATCAATAAGTATAGACTGGCACATTATGACAAAATGTGTGTGTGTGTGTGAGAGAGATGTGTGTTACTGGCAAAAATTTGTTTGTAATTATTAATTAGTAATGAGATTTGGGGTAGTTTTAAAAAGCCACAGTCATTCTTTCCATCTACTCTGGTGACAATTTTGTTTCATAAAGTGGTTGCTAAATTCTAAAATTACCTCTGAAAGTTCTGGGCCTATTAACATAAGCCAAAAAAAGATGCAGAGAAGATTAAAAATCCCTATTCTAGATTAATTCTAATCCTGATGCCAGTGGGTAGGGTGCCATAAAAAAGAAGTTAGGTTTAAGGAAAATGTAATTACTAAATCCTAGAATTTCTTCAGAGTAAAGTGGCATCCTGGAGAAATCTCAAGTCAGAATTCCAGGGATCCTTCCTAGAAGTTAAGGGATGACTCCAGATCAATGCTGTCCAGTTGAAACTTCTGTGATGGTAAAAATGTTCTGCCTAATCCACTGCCTACCACAGCAGCCACATGTGGCAGTGGAGCACTTGAAATGAGGCTAGTGTGACTGAGGAACCGAACTTTGGATTTTGTTTAATTTTAATTAATTTTCATTTAAATTTCAATAGCCACATGTAGCTAGCAGGTACCATATTGGACAATGCAACTCTAGGTTAGTATGATATGCTTAGAAAACAGTTTCTTCTTGCAAAGTCTCAGGAGTTTATGTATTTATTAAAATAAGGCCAATGGAATTCCAAGGACTACTTCTAAGAAGAATTTTAATTTTCCACGAGACCCCAGAACTGCTCTTACTCCCTTGTGATGTTCTGACAAAGGGAGAAAAATGAGCTCCTAAAATATCAAGAAGGAATATTTATATTCCAGCAAATGCGCTAAGCATTTTACAAACCATACCTTATTTAGTCATCACAAGAACCTTCAATCCTAGCTACTATGATTATCAGCCCCATTTCATCGGTGAGAAACTGAGGCACAGATGTCTTAACTAACTTGAGGGAGATTTTCCAACTCATACATGATAGAACCACTTTTGAAGAGAATGTAAACCTGTGCTCTGCTAACGTTCAGTTATCTCCCGCTCACCACATAACAGGGTGGATCCACTAGTGTATTTCCTGAGTTTCAGTTGACTTTTCTTCTAAACTGAACTGGAATTAACATTGGGATATCAAAATGATTAAAATGATAATCCTCTCAAATGCCTCCTTAGCTTTATTACAGTTTTTAATCAAGAGTTAATCATTTTCTGTTTCTTTGAGCAAACATCAAGACATTCACCTGCCAGGTCAAGTGGAAACTGCAGCATGCTCCAGGTCCATATAACAAGGATGGCATAGACTAGGGCAGGGCTATTCCTAAAATGCAGACATAATTTTAAATTAGTAATAAAAATATGATCATTTTTTAAGAAATAATTTATCTTTTTTTTCATATTTGAGTATGCACTAATAAACCTCTTGAGACTTGTCAAAACATCTTGGTGATATAAGAAACCCATGAAACTCCATGCATGATTATAATGGAATAATGAGGAAGTAAAAAAAAAAATAAAACACACAAAGCAAAACTGACACTTAAAATCCAACTCCCACATGTGCCAACATCTGTGTAAATTATGGCAAAGCCTCTTTGTCCCATATTGTTGTCTTTAGTTTTACAAAATCATGGAAACATTATTGGAGATAAATGCTAAGAATAATGTTAGACATTGACTCACAAATTCAGAGGGCTGATTTCAAGAATTCTCAAGAAAAAGTGAGAACTTTTTTGGTAAGATCATGAGACTCTAACTTAAAAATATATCTCAAAAGGACTGGATGATGCTCAACAATGAAAAGCTCAGCATATAAAAGAAAAGTATCTTCAGGTCAGAAAAAAGTGGAAAGATAAATCCAATAATCAAAAATTTACACTAGAATATGTAAGTCAAGGAATATGAGAGTTTCTTTCACTATTGTATCCCCAGGGCCTAGAACAGTGACTGGAAAATAATAGACTCTCAACAAATATTTGTGGAAGGAATTGTTGAATGTACAGAAGAAGGATCCATACTTGGCAAATATACAAATGTCATCGACCTAAAAGAATGGTCTTGAATACTGAAGTCAGAAAGAATAGATGTTATAAAAATACAAAGGATACTATAGAAATGTCAAAGTCGATTTTTTTTAGTGAAAATACAAAGGAAGTTATCAATTTGAGATTAGTGGTATTATAGCAGATTTGATTGCCAACTTCTCTGTCAGGAGGGATTTTAATGTTGGAGAGGAATAGAAAGGCATCAGGGAAGAGTAGTTGAAACCAAAAGAAATGAGGTGATTGTAAAAGATATCTTTAAATGCTTCAAGTATTGAGGCCCTGAAAAATTAGATCTCAAAAACTATGAGCCATCATTATCTTGGCAGTTAATGGCAGAGACAAGGGTGGAGACAAAAAAAATAATAAAGTCTTAATTTTCAAAATGAAGCAGAAGTGTATCTTAAAATACAAAAGGCACATTTACTATTAATCCCTAGTTAGGTTATCTAAGTGATTATTTAGAAGATTTCTGAAAGCCCTTATGGAAGACAGTAATTACTAGGAATTAGCACAGCTTCCTTGAGAACAATTGCACTCAGTAAATACTAAGATCATTCTCTCTCTTTCTCTCTTCAATAGAGTTAGGATTACCAAAGAAGTAATGATAAATAAATTAATATCAGACATTTGGGTTTAAATAAGGCTTGTAAAAAAAGCCTCCCACAGTGTTCTTATTAACAAGATTAAGAAATGTTCTGGGTGTGAGCACAATTAGGTGGATTTCTAACTCTGTAAATGACTCCCCAAAGGGAGCTCTCTGAGAGTTGCTGCAGGCTCTGTCTTTGATTCTGTTCTACTTCACATTTCACCAATGACTTGGTTGCACATTGATGGAAGGCTTCTCATATACACATAAAACATGGAGGTTGGATGGGAAACCATTTCCCCAGAAGACACGATCAGGATCCTAAAAGATCTTGTCAAGTTGTAACTGGATGACCTAGAATAGGATAGAAGAGATACCATTTCACAGCAGCCACCATAAAGAAAGCTCAAGGATTTTCCCTTACTATTATCTAATTATAAGTCCACAGTGTGACATTATTGATGATTTTCCAAGATCAAATGCAATCATAGGTCTCTTCATAAGAAGTATAAAGTCTAGAATTTTAAGTGGAGATACCTAGGGAATGGAGTCTATAACTTTTCCATCTTTGCAATGTCAATGTCTATATATAAGAGACCTCCAATAAGTTCCTGAAGTTTTAAATAATTTTGCCCACAGTTTCTGAAGCTCATACTATTTCAGGAAGCTTTCTAAGGGTTTCTAAGGGTCACACTCATATCAATTCTACAAAATAGTTACACTTATCCCTATTAGACCAGTGAGGAAACTGAGGCACAGAATTGTTGAAACTTGTCCAAAGTAATGTGGTTATAAGTGTTGGAAGCAGAAATCAAAACTAGACAGCTGGTTTCAGCATCCACCCTTTTAACCATTGTGCTAAACTTATTTACATAAAGGAAACAGAAAGTTTTAGCCTGCTATATTCTATAATGTTCAGAATATATCTGAAATATTAGGTATTGTGCTTCATGGTTTAGGAGGAAAGTTTATAAAGTTTTTGGTCCAAAGGAGAGAGACTAGGATGGTGAGAGATCTTAGAGCCATGTTCTATGTGGGATAGTTCAAGAAATGAAAAACAAGACAAGAGTCCCTAAAAACTTTATTTCATATACTTAAAGGCTATCATGCGGAAAAGGAATTAAACATTTCTTGTGACTTCAGAGGGCCAATTCAGATTCAAAGGATTTTAGTGGCACCTATAAGAATCCAAATTTTATCACAATAGAGAAAAGTACTTTCTAATAATATCAAGTCAAAATGGAATGAGATGGCCTGGGGTTAGTATATTCTCTATTAGTGAAGATTTTCAAAGAAAGTCTGGACAAAAACTTGTTGAGAAAAAATTCTGGAGAGGATTTTGCAATAGATGTAAAATAGATTGTTCAATAGACGACGACTTTTGAAGTTTCTTCTAATCCCGAACTTCAATAATTCTACCAAAAACTCATGTGCAATTTGTCTGCCAGACAGCAGAAAGCAATGATGAAGCATGAGGTCTGGTGTTGGGTTGCTGGAGTTCAAACACCAGCTCCAGCCCTCACTAGAGAGATAGGATGTGGGCCTCCAATCCCAGAATATTTACTGACTACATGAACATGAAAAAGTAATTTCACATCTATATGCTTTAGTTTACCTGTCTTCAATATGAAGATAACAATAATAATAACTACTGGATTTTACAGCATAATTTCATTAAGTATGTTGTTAAAATATGTTAAACATGTAAAGCTCTTAGAACAGCACTTGAAACAGACTAATTATGCAGGTATTATTTTTTTATTTTTTATTATCTTATAACCTTGAGACTTTCTCAACTTCTCTTGCCTGCCACAGTTCAGCTTATAAATGGTGATAATGATAGTATCCCCCTCATAGTCTATTGTAAAGACTAACTTATCACAATTAAAACCCTTAAAACAGTACTTGGATCACAGCAAGAGATAAATAAACATTATCTAATAGTAGTAGTAGTAGTAGTAGTAATACTAGCAGTAGTAGTAGCAGTAGCAGCAGTAGTAGCAGTAGCGGTAGTAGCAGTAGTACTAGCAGTAATAGTAGCCGTAGTAGTAGTAGTACTAGCAGTAGTAGTAGCAGTAGCAGCAGTAGTAGTAATAGTAGTACTAGCAGTAGTAGTAGCAGTAGTATCAACAGCAGTAACAGCAATGGTAGCAGTAGTATTTTTATTATGTTGAACATATTTCTTAAACTCTGTATTTTAATTCTATCATTTCACAAACTAGGGATAAATAATAAATAAATCGTCACCCTATGTAAGCCAAATTCTAACCTTACAATAATAAACATATATCTTGCATATACAAGTATCTGAGTATACACAAAATATGGGGAAATGTGAGTGTTGAGAAACATATTAGTAAATTTATCAAAAATAACTTTGGAAAAAATGGCCAGAAAAATTTTGAAGCAGATAAATTTGTATTAAGTCAGATAGTAAAAGTTACTCAGAAAGGTTAAAAGGAAAGTAAATAAATCATTGAGTTTAAATGGCAATCACTCAAAATTTGTAAAGGAATTTTGGAGTGAATTTATCCAACATCATCTCCATTGTCTAACTGTCTCCCCTAATTGTCTCACCTCATTTTCTCATGTGTAATGTCTTCATAAATGTCAACTGAGAAGCTTGTAAGCAGACACTGAACTCTATTCATGAAGAGACAAAAGATCTTGACAAATATAATTATAGATGTGAGTATCACTTCTCCACCTGGAAAGTTAGGGGGATAAAAGACTGGAATTTGGTAGATCAGTGCACCAGATCTACTGGATGAAAAGTAAAAACAGAGTCATACATTGCTAATTTGCTTAACGATTTCTTTTTGGAAGTGTAAATGTTCCTGTAGATAAGAGATCAATGGATAGAATTCACCTAGTTTTTGGAAAAGCATCCAACAAACCTCTTCAGAAAAAGAAAAAAAAAATAAAGGAGAGAGAGAAAAATAAAGTGAGAAAATTAAGTATTAACCTAGCCCAGAAAAAATATTTTACCAAGCAAAAGGAGCTAAATGGACAGAAAACACAGTGCAAAAATAGGAAAATTCTCCTTTGTGTGGTCAAATATAGTGAAATAACTATAACGTTATGAGAATAGAGTTTTTCTCTTTAAAAATGATCTGTGTTCAAAAAAAGACTGTACATTAAAGATTACTTCTAAATGTGTGAATAACCAGTTAACTCTTCCTGGCAATGATATTGAAATTCAGAATTGTTAAAAATGTTGGAGGATGGCTATAGCAGAATGAAAAGGTCAGCAAAACCTCTCTACAACAAACATACATACTAGAAAAATTGTCAAAAACAACCACTTCAGATCTCTGGAAATCAACCAAAGGCAAACAAGAAATTGAGTAGCATTTATTTATGAAAAACTGGTGGAGCTTTGGTTAAGAATAGTGGGAGTTTGAGGTATTCTTGTCCATGGATTTTCACACCCCTCCAGCTTGGCTATATCAATGAAAAATTGCACTAGACAGAGTTAAACAGGCGAGGAAGACTTTATTCAACTCTGTTGAAATAAGAGAGAAATATTGAGTTCACCCCTACTGAAACAAAAGGCAAGAGAGATTTTAAGCACTGACGCGCATTAGTGCAAAAGTACTAGAGGACATTAGAAGGGGAGATTGGTCAACATTATTAGACTATTTGTGTTTGCTAATTGGCTACTAACAAAACTGATTTCTAACTTCTAAC